AAACCAGCCAAGGTTTTTTGAACAAACTTTTTATCTTTCTTGGAAGTACCATCGTTCGATTCATCAAAATGTTCATCTAAATATTTAGAGAATATTTTCAAAAAAGACATCAAATGCTTTCGCATTCGTTTAGCACTGGGACCAGTTATCGATGCAAGTGAATCAATAGCAATTAACAGTAGCTTGCGATGCTCATTATCCATTGTATGCAGCGATAGTGCTTCATTGATAATTGCAACCAAATCATCAAGAAATTTGTCAGTGCCTTTTTCCTCATTTTTTAAAGTTGAAAACAAGAATTCATAGAGCTGCCAACAAGTTTCCGTGGGCAATAGATTCAGCAATCGTTTTGCGTCAAAATATTTGAAAATCAAAACTTGCTGACCGAAGTGGAGGATATCTGTAAAGAGAATTATTAATAGTTCTTAATTTCCTGGAAATGTCTATGAAAAACAAAACACAACCTTTCATTATGTCCAATGCTTGTGCAGCCAATTCATCTTCGTTCCCGCATTTAAGATCACGATAAAGGCACAGATGCAAGGCAAATATAATTGTTTTCCGCTGGCGCCTCAAATGTCCAATTGGAAGTTGCGAAAGTAAATTTAAATTTGTCCGTATTTGATCGGTATCAATTCTTTTTATTTTGTACTCTTTGTCAGTGCGTTCATTAATAACAGAAATTAAACGTTTTATTAAAGTTTCCGTGGCTGAAACTTCTACGCATTGACGAATTTCGTCAAATTCACACGACAGAGACTTTAAACGGAAGACACTCTTGGAAGAAAATGATGAACATATGTTCTCGTAAATAGCCAAGCAAGAAAACTCTAATAGATCCAGATCATGGCAGGCAATGGTCAATAAATCTTTACTTTGAATAACATATTCAGCAACTGGGATCTTTCTACTCCTAGGCAGTTGTGAAATTAACCATTTGGCATTGTTGGATTTTAAGAAACTATGCAATTGCTCCTTGTCACCAGTTTCAAATGTTCGTTCCAGCTGCATTTTTTCTTGTTGGGGGGAATTAACCATCAGTAATAAAGACGATTGAGATTTTTGCATACTTAGACGTTGAAGCAAATATTTACAACTCGACTGACCAAAATTTAGTACACGTTGCTGTATTAGCAACCACTCTTCCGGAGACAGAAAACAGTGTAGTTTTTCCAATAACTTTTGTGGTTGCAATGTTTCGTCGGCGCTGCCATCCGGCCGATAGAAAACTATCATTAGCTCCAAAGATGTAGCAAAATAAGACAATTCTAAAAATGCAGCCATAGTTCGGGGTTGATGTTCTCGATCCAATATGAATTTTCCAAACACCTGTAGTACCTCTACGGTTAATTTTCGCTGATTATTTATATCGCTGAGATAGTGCCCAGATTGTTCGGCTAACTTCGACCCTGCAAAATATTGAGCCAGCAAAGCAACATGGAAATCCAATTGAAGAAGTTCTTTTTCATTTAAAGTTCTCTTATCTTGATATGATTCGATTAATTCCTTAAGCGAAAACAAGAGGGTTTTCCAAATCACCAACGAGGGCTTTGTAACTAAACCAGTTACTATTTTTGAAAAGGCAACTCCCACTGGATTGCTGGGCCAAAAATTTGTCAATGTTGGAAATGACAATGACATGGACAGTGCCGAATTTTCTTCCAATTTCTTTTGTGTCATGACAGGCTTAAAGAAATCTTGAAATAGTATGTCCAGATATTTTTTTGCGATGCCTTGGTTAGGGTTCTCACTTTCAATTGGTTTTTCCATTTTCTTTTTCTTTGAAGATGTGCAATTAATTTCATTTTGGCCCTTTCTTTTGTTAGTTGCAGCAATGTCAACTTTCTCCAAGCGAGTATTGAGCGCTTTTATTAGGTTACTAACAAATTTCTCTGCCCGACTCAATCGGCGAAACATATCCATCAATAGAACCAAATATTCTTCAAACAATTGCTTCTCTTTAATATCACCAGATTTCGTTGCTAAAATTACATTAGCCGTAATTTTGAATACATTGTCCTCCAAAATTAATGGATTTAAACGTAAAGCTGCACACAGCACCATTAAAACTTCTTTCAGGTGGGTATCTTGGACCTCTTTAATAACATCATATATTCGCTTGCCCAGGAACTGCAATGCAGTTTCGCTTTTACTCCATTCCATGTTTATGTTAACATCATGACGCGAAAACATTTCCAATACGTAAGCAGCAATAGTCAATTTGAGCGACGTGTCTTCCGTAGATTCATCGAAAATATTGGTTAATATAACATTGGTGTAGTCATCAACATTTCTGCGATTAACAATAGACGATTCTAGTACCAACAATCGAACGTGCAAAGACATCTTGTTAATGCGCTCACTTAAATCCATATCACTCATTTCCATGGTTAGCAGGCGCTCAATTTCAGTGAACTCTTGGAAGAAATCCACTTTCAAAGTTCTCATGATAAGTACTACATTTGTCATGGCATCCAATGTATTGGAGGTGTAGTTGGTTTGAAACTTCGTCACATCCCCACATCTCTGAATTGTTTCCTTTAATGTTCTCAAAATGGAAGCTATAAACTCGGTTTCGTTGGTACTTAGAAAATTATTGACAATCTTTGACAGGTACAACTCATAGCTGGTAAAAATTGCTTCATACACTTTTGCTTGTATTTCGTAGTCAATCCTAAGAAGGTCCTGAAGCAGTTCAAATTCGATAAGCAATGCTAAGATTTCGCACCATTTTCTTGTACTATGGTCATAGAGTCCGCTCATTTGCAAGCACCACTTAATAAATGTGTACTTTACATCTTTGCTAATCAGTCCAGGCTGTGCTCTCAACTTGAGAAGTTCTTTTAGATCGTCCTTATTTAGATGGTCATCCGGCACATCAGTGTGTTCTGATATCCACTGCAGTATTATTTCATATTTTGTTGGCAATATAAATTCCACAGATTGCCATGCTTTAATTGCAAATTTTAAGTTTTCCTCAAAGGTTTTATCTTTGCGGCGTAGCCATTTTGAGAATTCTACAAAGAAATACATAAAATAAAATCATTCTGCGGCTAGAATTCGCTTTCTTACCCTCTTCTGTAGACATTTTACTCACAAAATATGTGAAATTTAACAAGAAAATATACTTTTTAAGATCCTCCTGAAACTTGGGAGAAAAACAAAACAAAAAACAAAATGCACGTGGATATGAATGTGTTGGTAACTAGAGTTTTGTAGTTTCGAAACGAACCAGTTCGTATGAAATATTCCGCGAAAGGAACGATCGGAACTAGATCCAGCTCTTTATACAATCTCTTTTACACATGGTTGAAGATGCATCAACGCTTAGAAACATTGATGTGTCAAAATTTTTAAAATGTTTTGTTAACAGTGAGTAGATATTTTATGTTTTCTTGTACGACGCAAATCGAGTGTTGTTATAATAAGCATTTCTCAACAGTTTTTACAAATTTCAATAATTTTTCAGTCATAATTTTCAATTTCAAAATTTGTTTGACTACCTGTATTCTTCTACCACGTTTTTACATCTACCGGTGAACAATGCAAACGATGTGCACATTTAGGCATATTTAAGATAGATTGGTTAATTTACAAAATGTGAATAAAAAGGAAAGGTTTCAAATCGCGATTGAAAAGTAAATAAAACATTTATGAATTATGTTGGAAAGGGATTTACATATGTGCAATCATTTTTTTAACCATGTTTATTTCCGTATGTATGTGGAAATTGTTAATTTACATATGACTAGTAAGTTCTGCTATCACATTCCACCATTTGGAACGAATTTGGAAATTTTAAAGAATGAAATCCGTTAAAAATTCTGTTTAAACCTTAAAAATACCGAATATAGCAGTTATATTGGGGCTCATACGACGTGGACCTACATAGGCATTGTTGTCATAAGTCATTACCATATTCAAATTCAAAAGTGAATAATGCTGCTAAAATCATCAAAATATCGTATATAAGGAGGTGCCGTTAAATTGGAGCTGTGCGAAGGCCTGGACCTGCATAGACAAGTTTCTATCACAGATTGTAGTTCCATTACGAACTTTAAATACGTAATTTGAAACTACTCCGGTGAATAATTACGCTAAAATCATTAAACTGCCGAATATGGGAGGTACCATTATATGGGGTCTATACGAAGACGTGGACCTGCACATACAATTTTCTCTCATATATATGAAAACATGGACCTAAATGGCCCATTTATTAACTTAACCTGCCTACTGGCAAAATAAACATGTGTGCAAAATTTTAGCCTTATATCTCAATTCGTTCGAAAGATAGCGTGATTACAACAGACAGACGGACATCGCTAAATCGACTTAGAATCTTACGCTGATCAATACTATATAAACTTTGTTGGTTCTGACATGAGTATTTCGTGGAGTTACAAACGGAATGACAAAGTTAATATACCCTCCATTGAATGGTTATATAAGAAAACTTTTAAAAACCTACTTATTTTTGATAAAACATTTTAAAAATTTTGACATATCAATGTTCTTAAGCATTGATGCATCTACCCATGGTACAATGAAGAAAAGGTAGGCTAACTTTGAACAAATTTTTAGTATACAGGTCTACCTGTTTGGCTTGGAAAGCGGGCATAGCCTCAGGGCTGTATTTCTGTAGTTTTACGAAGCTGTTCTACCTCCTTGTTGTACCATGAGTTAAGCCCTTTTTCATCGCAACATATAAATAAATGAAATGAAAAGAATTAAAAGATAGAAATGTTTTAGTTGTTTTAGTGTGTACTCAGTTTAATATTCTTAACGGCGTCAAAATGACGACCTAAAGCCGGCCGATTTCTTCCTTGAGTTGAAGGAACATACTCCCGCGGTTCATTTAACGAATGTGTCCATCGGTTCGATTTCCTTATGTCTCATTCGTAAACAACAGAGGTCCCTCGGGGATTTTGTTTCTTTCTTTTTTATCGGGCATTCCTTTTTGATTTCTAATTTGTTTCGTTGGGGACGTCTTTCATTGTTGTTTTCCACGCGATCTGTAACAAAACAAAAACAACTCATCTCACATTAAAGGGCTGCTCCAGAACCTGCAAGAATCATAAGGGGAAAAGTGGTTATCATAGCAAAAATTTGCTGTATTAAGTGAAACCAATAGAATATCTTTCCATCTATAATGAGCAAATGTATGTTCGTTTATTCATTTCGTTATTGTAAAGAAGTAGAAACTACGCTAAGTACGGCCGGGCCGAAGTTGTTATACCCAATTTACTTTTACTTATGGGAGTTACGGGCTTAGCAGGAAATTGACTGAAACCTCCCAAATGCCGAAAATCAGGAGTTAGCCTTATATGTGAGACCGACAAACGTAGACAGATATAGTTGTATTCAGTTTTCAATACCAGACATCCTAGAAATAATATCAATGCTTTACAAGCGAAGTATTTTGTGATTTCAACAGACGGACGGACACTAAACATTAACAATTTTCAATATAAATTTGATGGGGTCCCCGACGAATGTGTCTTGGTGTAGTGAAAAGAAAGACAAGTTTATTATACATTTCACTTTATGGTGACGAGTTTAATTAAAATATTTTTTATCCTTTTAGTGGAAGTAGGCGAAGCGAAAGCTGCAGATCCACAGGAACCGGTAACCCGGAAAGGATATTTAATTTCATTAAAAACTGGAGAACGGACAGAAATCCGTGAGCGAGATGTTGTAAGTTTATATTTTATGACTTTTATGACTATCCTCTACAAATAAGTACTGCCTTTTACAGCACGGACGTTGCAGGGCTGTAACAGAATTCGAGAAGCTTAATCGAATTGGCGAGGGTACCTACGGCATTGTTTGTAAGTAACAGCAATATTTATGTATTCCACAAGTCTTGCAAACTATCTCTCATTTCAGATCGTGCTAGAGATAAACGGACCAATCAAATTGTTGCTCTGAAAAAAGTGCGAATGGATCAGGAAAAAGATGGACTTCCTGTTAGTGGATTACGGGAAATTACAATTCTAAAGAAATGTAAACATGATAATATTGTCAATTTAATTGATGTAGTAGTTGGTAAGAGCTTGGAAAGGTAGAAAAACTGAGTAATTTTAATTATTTCGTATAAAATTACATTTTATTTTTTTTTTCTAGTATTTTCCTCGTTATGGAATATTGCGAACAAGATTTGGCATCTCTTTTAGACAATATGTCTCAGCCTTTCTCTGAATCAGAAGTCAAATGTATAGTACTGCAAGTTCTTCAAGGACTTAAATATATACATTCGCGCTTTATAATACATAGAGATTTAAAAGTATCAAACTTGTTAATGACTGATAAAGGCTGCGTCAAAATAGGTAGGTAGTCACTGGAATGTTGAATTGTTACATCGGAAGTATGAAATTAACTGTTTAATTCTTTTTAGCTGATTTTGGACTAGCCCGTCTATTTGGTTTGCCATCGGGACCAATGACTCCTCAGGTTGTTACATTGTGGTACCGATCTCCAGAATTACTTTTAGGATCTCCCACACAAACAACAGCTGTTGATATGTGGGCAGTTGGTTGTATTTTTGGAGAACTTTTATCTCACAAACCACTTCTGCCGGGTAACACAGAAATCGCACAGCTAGAGCTAATAATTGACTTATTAGGCACACCATCAGAAACAATATGGCCAGATTATACGAAAATGCCTGCCATTCAAAATTTCACGCTCAAAAAGCAGCCATACAACAATTTGAAGCCTAAATTCCCTTATTTATCCGCTGCAGGCTTGCGATTGCTGAATTTCTTATTTATGTATGATCCCAAGAAAAGGGCCACAGCAGAGGAAAGCCTTCACAGTAGTTATTTTAAGGAACCACCATTACGTATGTACATAACTTAATGTAGAACAAGGCCTACATAAGATGGGCCAGAAAGTCCATTTGACAAAGAAGTGTGCTATCAAAAACATAATTGTGATTTGAAATTCTGAGAGAGTCAATTCACAATTGTGCAAAAACTACTAAGTTTATTGGCTAATCGTTGTATTCCTGTCCGACCTTATGTAGGCCTTGTTTTATGGCAATATAAAAGGATAGCAGAAATAATTTAAGTTAGTCTCGATTTACACTAGGCAGTTATTATAGCAGAAATTGTCAGTTTGTTAGTAAGAGCGTGTTGAAAGTATTGGGGTCTCAATTTTCCTCACCCCTTTCAACAACAATCTGCCAGTTGCCTAATGTAAATCACGACTTATGATTTTTTCGACCATTGATATCAATTATATTTTGTACTTTGTTTTCAGCTTGCGATCCAAAATTGATGCCGACCTTTCCACAACATCGCAACCTACAACACAACTCTACAAAGCCTACTGTAAGCACCACCCATCAGCTTGGGCTATCAGTTCCTGAATTACCGGCGGTTTCAGATTTGCTCGGAAGTCTTTTAAAAAAAAGCCGCATGGAATAAACTACTTATGATTTTTTTTATACAATAAAATAAATATGTGCAGTAGTGTGCCACAAGATACTAATATATTTAAATTACAAACGTTTACATTTTTTATTGGATTTTACAGATATATAAATGCTACTGAAACAAAACTACTGGTAGTTAAAAATTCTGTTTTTTTTTTTTGTTTGCTTGAAAAATTAATAACCAAACAATAATTTTTTGGGATGAAGTAAACTTTCACTAAATGTATCCTGCTCAATTTCTTTCAGTTTAAGAATGTAAATAGGTACAATAAGGAGGTGACGTGGACTAACACACTGTTTTTTTAAACTTGATGCAATGCTTAATATATGGGAAGTTGACAAAAGAAAAGACGGGCCAATTTTAACGAAAATAATTTAAATTTAAACGTACGCTTCTTTCTTTTTCCATGAAATATATGATTTTAAACGTGGTCATAAATGAAAAAAGGCAGATTTTGACTGCCAAAAGAAAAAATACTCTTGCATATGTCCCTGTTCACTCTTTTTGGCACAAGACATAAGCTGGCTATTCATGATAGAAGAAAGAACCTTTGTTTTGTTTACTTATCTTTAATTTCGACCCATAATTTTGTCACCCTATGTAAGATGGCGATATTTTCATAACCATTGTATATACTCAAATCAGAGATGGGAACCTGTTTCAATAAATTTTATTTGACAAGGTAAATTGGGGAAAATACAAAGCTGGATATTATTATTTAAAAAGAAATATTGACAGCATGGGAGCCACCACCTTCAGTGGATCCGACACGCGTGCTGACAATATTGGGTAAATAAAATCCCAACCTCAGTACGGAGAGCTGGCGTTTAGTCGGCTCAAGCACGGAGGGGGGAGGCCTGGTCCTCAAAGTATCCATTAATACAGATGGCCAGGAATACTTTCAGGCTCGTGGGAGGAAACTGCACTTTGGCACAGGATGGATTCGACTCCGTCTAACGCCATCGTCGCAGTAGGAGGGAGGACCACTGTAACCAGCCGCAGCTTCTTCTCTCGTCCCTCACCAAGTTTGAAGAGACATAGCCCGGGTCCAGTGAGCGGTACATCACATATGGAATGGAGAAAAGGTTTGAACGTGTATCGTAGCTAAAAAGAACTTAATCTTCCTTAATAATTTAATCGGAGGAGACGCCACGACGGTTAGATTGGAGTCACGAGCATGAAGGGTACTCTTTTTTGTCTCCATCTACCTACGCTTTGAGTACCCCGACCCGCCAGGCGAAGTAGTAAAGAAGCTGTTCACTGAGTTGGGAAGCAGAGGCAATCTCGTCGTTGGATGTGATGCTAACGCTCACCATTTTCAATGGAGGCAGTAAGGATACGAACGCAAGAGGTGAGTCCATCTTTGTTTTTATTTTAACACATAATCCCAAAATATGTAACAGGGGAAATGAGACAACTTTTCAAAATAGGAATAGGGAGGAGGTTATTGATCTCACCCTTACAACATGGATGAGTCACTCATACTGAGTTGGAAAGTTTCCACCGATTGTTCCTTCTCGGACCATATAATAACATTCCAGGTATCGGTAGAGGGATTGCATCAAAAACTGCATAGGAACCCGAGAAAGACTCGATGGGATAAATTTGCGGAGCACACTGCATGGAAGTTGATATCTACTGGTAATCTCCCAGTAGACTCCGCCTCCGATGTGGACGAGTCCGTTAATTTGATAACTAAAGTCCTGATTGGGAAATTTGATAACTAAAGTCCTGATTGAAAGAGCTTGTCCGCTTACCTTCCCGGGAAAAAAGTGCCAACCTGCTTGGTGGTCGAAAGACCTAGCCCAGCTCATGAAGACAAGCAGACGCCTTTATAATAGGGCCAATAAGACCAAACTGGGCTCGGACTGGGAGGCTTATAAATCAGCCTTCAACAAGTACAACAGTGTGATCAAAAAGGCCAAACGAAGATCTTGGGTTTTCTTTACTGAGTCCATAGGAGATGTAAACAATGTTAAAGGACCCCACACCCATTGGATGTATAAAGCGGAATGACTTTGGTCTAGAGGCACTCAACCTGTAAGCCAGTACTCACTTTCCGAACTGCTCCGATGTGGTAAATGACCAATTGTTAGATCGGTCTAGTCAGCATCGTGGGGCGGAGGATGTAAGTCTGACTGAGAGGATTTTAAGCGCTCCCAAGATTTTGTGGGCTATAAACTCATACAAACCTTTCAAGTCACCGGGACCAGATGACATTATTCCCGCCATGCTACGGTAATAATACATTTCTGGAGGCGATTTTTAAGGCTTGCCTGCGTCTCTCTCACATTCCATCACTGTGGAGGAAAGTTACAGTCACTTATATTCCCAAGGCTGGGAAACCAAGTCATGTACTTCCAAACGACTACAGGCATATTAGTCTCTCATCCTTTCTACTGAAAACGCTGGAGAGACTATTAGACATTGAGATTAGATCTATGATACCCCTGACCTTGTTGAGCACAGCTCAACATGCCTATATGAAAGACAGATCTGTTGAATCAAGGCAACACGATGTCGTGGGTTGTGTAGAGAGAAACCTGAACAACTCGTTTTTCACTTTGGCAGCCTTTCTCGATATCGAGGGAACCTTCAATAATGTCACAATTCACAGTCCCCTAGTAAAACTTAGTATACCACCATTCCTGGTTGACTGGATTGATGTTGCTCAGCAGCAGAATCATCAACTCAAGCATCGGGGAGTGTTCTGTCAGGAAAACGGTCACTAGGGGCACCCCGCAAGGTTGGGTTCTGTCACCACTACCCCTTCTTTTGGTGATATATAAAATTCTTATCGAACTGGAACAAGGTGGGACAAAGGTCGTGGCTTCCGCCGATGATGTTGTCTTGCTGATTGCTGGGAAATTCCCTCAAACTTTTTCATATCTTACGCAGGGAGTTCTAGTTAAAATCTCCAGATTGGCACGCTGCAATGGAATGGCGTGAACCCATCAAAAACTGATGCCTATCCTTGATGGTGTTATGCTAAGCTAAGCAAAACCAGAAGCTAAGGTGGAAGAGGAACATCGAGGAGCGAGCGAAGAAGGGCCTGATTGCACTTTATTCCTGCAAAAACTCCATAGGAAAAAGCTGGGGTCTCAGACCTCACATAATCAAATGGTTATATGTGTCTGTCGTCCGACCAATTCTAACCTATGGGGGGCTTGTTTGGTGGCATTCCTTAGGGAAAACCACCTTCAGTAAAAGCATTGATAAAGTCCAAAGAGTTGCATCGCTACTAATTACAGGCGCGTTCAGGAGCATACCTCAATCCGCACTAGACACCCTACTCAATTTAAAATCGTTTGGTTTATTTGTAGAGGAACAAGCCGCTAGGTGTGCCCTGCGACTCAATAAACTGGGACAATGGCGGAGTCAGCCCTTCGGATACTCCGCCATTATCAAGTATGTGGGAAGCATAGTAAATCAGGCTATAGCTAGCGATTTTATATCACCTAGACACAGATTTGAACTACTTGATATCCATACACCTAACAGAGACATTTGGACTCGTGACACTCCACCTTTTAACGGTATACCTGTCTATACTGATGGATCAAAGATGGAAAGTGGAACGGGAGCCGGGTCTACGGTGACAGTCTAAATATCCAACGATCCTTCAAACTAAACAATGACTGTAGCGTTTTTTAAGCAGAAATCTTTGTCCACTGCCCAAATCCACTGCCCAACTCTTTTCCTGCCTCTCCGACACCAAGGCAGCAGTCATTCTCCAGTTAGCCAGAAGACTTAAATGGCTAAAGACGACACGTTAACACACAGTGAATAGAAACCTACTAATTTCTCTACTCTCTATACAAATCTTACTTCTTCACTCTTCGCTATCCATTTCCTTTTCTCCTCCCTATTCTATTCTCGTATTTTTTAATTAGGATGAAAGAAATTTTTTGCAGAGGTAGGTATTTTTACCCTGATCCCGGGAAACTATTTTTTTCTTGGGGGACGGACCTGGGACCCCAGACCCGAAAGTCCGGGTTCAAGACCCCGACTAGACCCGGATCCACTTACCTTATTGAAAGCCTATGGAAATACCTATCCAACAAGTGGTCACATGAAGGGGTAAGTTGTCATGGTTCGGAAGTTATAGTCAAATTATCGATTTTTTGGACCCGGATTTTTTATGAAACCCCCAAAAAGTAAAAAAGGGCCCATTATGGGGGTCAACAAAATTGTTTCCAAATTATGGGTGACACTCTTACCTATCCAAAATGCTACAATTTGTGCTAATAACTTTTTCGGGTCCAGAGATATGGGTCTTTCCATCCTCATAACCCGATTCTAACCAGTTCATTAAAATGATGTTTTCAATTAAAAAAGGGTTTGTTTCGCGTAAGCATTAAATTCAGAAATCTTTGGTTCGCGTTAGCCGGTGTATTTTCATAAGCTTTCCAACGATATCTATATTGTCTATATCGGGTATTTGGATCCGGGTCTAGTCGGGGTCTTGAACCCGGACTTTCGGGTAAAAAATCTGGGGTCCCAGGTCTGTCCCCCAAGAAAAAAATAGTTTCCCGGAATCAGGGTAAAAATACCTACCACTGGAAAAATTTTAAAAAAAATTGAAGAGTTTTTACTAGAGTTAAGCCAAGTTCAGAGGTTTTTAATTTTTAACAAATTTCAATAATTTTAATAAATTTTCATTTAAAACTCTGAAGTCCAAAAAGGGTTTGGGAAGGTTATTGTATATTGTTATAATTTTATCATACATTTTTACAAGTTTTTATTCTCTTTTCTTTATGGGTAAAACAGTTCTCCCACACGTTTCAATAGTTGCTCTTTTTTGCTGACATTACTGTAAAATACGAAATTTGATGTGTTGCCGATGAGCGTCAACCATGTCATGCATGCCCGGCTTCTTAATCGGAAAACTCGATTTGTTGTTCCCTAATTTGTTGGGGTAGCGGCGTTTAAGCTTTAAAGGATTTCGAAAATTTATTTTATTGTTTATATCATAATTACATAAAATACATACAATTTTACTTGTTATGAGTGACGACAACTTGAACGAGGGTTTCCATAAATGGAATCCAATGGAAAAAGACTACAAAAGCGTGGAATTCAATCAATATTGTACAGGACCTGGAGCCAACCTTGATTCGTCTTTGCAATTGGCAAACAATTACAACAATGGAAAGGCAACTCCAACGAGGGATGCTCCAACACCATACTTGGTATTTAAAAATATGCCACCCAAAATGAGCAAGACTGCTTTGAGAAATATTTGTTCAAAGCATGGCAGCGTAAAATCCGTAAGGGATAGTCAAAAGTGTGATTACTTCTTTGTTGATTTCGCGACAGTGGCGTAAGTATGAGTGTAACATAAACTCAATAAGCGAAAGATATTTGCATTTGTAAACTTGAAACCAATTACCGGGAAAAGATAACTTTTACTGGAGGTAGTTTTTTCCATCAAAAACGATGGGCATGTCTGCATGATTTAACACCTCCTTTGATATTGGCCACTAAAGTTTATATCGCCACACGAATGATTATGTTGAATGTTGAACAGAAGTTGCATAAAAAAAGTAAAAAATATTTTGCGTTATTTAGTTATTGCAATATGGTATGGAGTACTCTATTAGTATACATCATCTGCAACAGGTTACAGCATAAATCTAAGTTTTAAGTATAATGTTTATGAGAAACAACGTCCCTTTGATGTATTGTGTTTAAGTCGATAACATATTTATAAATTGTATTACGATTCATGTTCAATATCATATTATCTCTATTTTATATAGTGATATGGAAGCCACATTTCGTGCACTGGAGAACAATAATTACGGATTCCAAGTGTTTGTAGGAAGACACAAGAAAAATCTAACGCCAATGGATTATAACAAAGAAAATAATATAATAGCCGTACAGCCACGCACAACTGGCATTGATTATCAAAATCGTACAATCAGAGTTTCAAGCAAACAACTACCTAGACCAATAGTTGAACAAAATCGACAGATTGAAGAGGACAAATGTAACGGCTATCCAGCAGAAATATTTAACAATGATGCCCACTACTTAGAACGTGAGGACGTAAACGATCCCATAAAGCACAGCAAATTCAAATATCAAACAGGTCGTTCCTATATACAGTAAGTTTTTGCAATGTTTTAACATAGATGTGGCAGACCTCTGCAATTTGATTTTATTGCAAACAAATTTCAGAATGTCGGACAACATAAGGGAGTTCGTAGCAAAGAAATGCGAGGAATCCACCGGTAGGTTCTCACCATCCACCGAAAAATATGTTAATAAACTAAATGGGTTTGAAAAACCCTCTCAAATTGGAAAATGCAATACTTGCGAACGTGAATGCGACACAATTTGTAGCCGTTGTTCGACCCACTACTGCAGTGTGGAATGCCAAAGAAATGATTGGCAGGAACATCGTTACGTATGTGGAAAACCAAAGTATGTAAACAAATTTTTACAAGATTTTGTATTTATCGTTCATACATTTACATTAACAAAAATAGAATCTTCATTCAAACAGGCGCAGAATTATTGAAAATACTTCACTATATATGACTTATTAATGCACTTTTAGGAACTTGCAGAAAATCTCATTAGAACACAAAAAATCTCAAGCAACAATTACACAATCAAAGCCAAGTGCTGTAGAATGCTCGAAAACATTAAATTCCCCAAACAAGAACACAACAGAAAGTTATTGCAATCCTCAAATTCCTAGGAGTGGTAATATTGTTACAATAACTTCTATAAGTAAAACAAACATTGTATTTATTCGAGCCAAGACGTATGAAGATAATATGAGTTATTTTAAAACAATTGATGGCATACAAGCTTTAGGGAAAAAATTAAAACCCCTAAAAGATAAACCAAAGTGTGGCAATGTTGTTATTGCTAAATTTGGTGATCAATACAATCGAGCACTTGTACTGAATTCCGATAATTCTGAAAAAATATTTGTTAATTATATGGACTATGGCAATTTGGATAACTTAAGACTGGAGGATTTGTATGAAGCCCCAATCGAATTTTCTGAAAAACCAAGGCATGCGTTGCCAGTAATACTTAAGGATGTTCCAGATTGCTATATGACCGAACAGATAAGGAATTTTATGTATTCTTATCTAAATGGCATTAATGTTTGTATAAAATACAAACCAGAGGATTACCAGCAGGAAAAGGGTGTTTATCAGGTGGAACTTATCGATGAGACGACACAACAGAATTTAAACAAAATGATTGTAAAATTGTCTAAGCCTACAGAACCACAGTCAACCAATGAAATTTGCTATATAGAGGTAAGTAATTTTAAAAAATCACGTTAATTTGAATTCTTTTAAATTTCAGTATTTTTGCAATAACTAAAACTGTGTGCTGATGCTGACCAATTTGTAGCCAAGTTTATTTATAAACGAAATAAAGCTAATAACATGTTTTCTTTCAAAACCCGCAGTACCTCCAACAGAAACATTTACCCAGTGGTGAAAATATCGAATTAATTGTAATGGACAATTCATCAATGAGTACCGGATGTATATCTTGTACCACAAAGCCCTATGCAGTGGAGATCCAGAAGTTCCAGAAGGAATTGCAAAAATATGTGGAAATGATACCAAAAGAAGGATATGCGCCGAGGTAATTTTGTTTTGTGTATGGCGTAACCATAATATAACAATTTGTTTCCCACGTAGACAAGATGAACTTTGTATTGTAAAATACAACGAAGATGGTCTTTGGTATCGAGGACGTTGCTTGGAAGTGGTGGGAGATGGATATCCCACAATTCTATTCATTGATTACGGTAATGTGTCAATAGTTCACATCGATGACATTCGACGCTACCCAACACAGTTTACTTATCCAATCTATACAGCAGACTGTGAAATTGAAGGTTAGTGTAAAGTTTTGAGTTGTTTTTTTTTATTAGAATTGTAATTTATTTTTTTAAAGGATTGCCGGAATCCTGCAATGAAGAAATTGTGGCTAAACTTGAAGAACTTATACCTCATGGCAGCATTGTGAAGTGCAATCGCGTCAAAGCATTTTCTGATGATCATTTTTATTCCATTTCATTGCCAGATGTTATTCAAAGATTATCCAAATGTGGTTTGCTGTAATTGAACAATATTTGAATAAGTAATCCTAATGTTTAATATTTTAACGATCGTGCACGTTTCCAATATTCGTTTGTATAATAATTTTTAGTACTGAGAGCATTAAATGTGCGACTCGTAAATCTGGGTTTTAAATTTTATACAATATGCCAATTTATCAATTGTATGAAGGCTTGTTTTAAACAAATGACAACATTATTAAGAATAAGATAAATTAGTTATTTTACAAAAGAATTATGAATCTTCAATTAAATTGCTAAGGAATCCTTATGACTCATCCTAGATCATTGAAGAAAGTTAATTAATTAATATTTTATTAAATGCGATTCATTGCGCTGTTTTGCAATATTTTCCCTCTATCCTACGATGAGAAAATCTTCGGTCGGAATTGTGGCGGAAACTTTAGAATAGTGGACCTGTAATATATATATAGGGTGAGTCTTAGTCTCATACGGCTGGATAACTGCCATCTAATGTACAATTATGCCGAAATGTGTCGTGCGCACCAAATTTTAAATTTGAAAAAAAAAATAACATTAATGGAACTATGTTGAAAATAAAAAAAAAAAAAAACAACATTAATGGAACTATGTTGAAAATAAAAAAAAAAAAAAACAATACAATAATTTCAATCTGTAAAATGCTTTAGTAATCCTCATTTATTTTTGTAACTATCATTGTTTTGTCTTGGTTGGACCTTCCCTATTTGGATAATACAGCAGTGAAGAACATGTAAGCCTAGTATGAAAGGTAAGTATTTTTATACGGTTCGTCGTATTTAAACCTTAAACCCTAACATAATCCAAACAAATTGTTGCACTTTCTCCCACTGCGATGCGATTTCGAACCATTTCTGCTGATGTTGCTGTCTTCTTCCGTCCACTTCCTTGACGAGCAATGGTACGAGACACAAAAGGTTTATTCACATTTAAATGCTGGAGTGCTCTAACGATAGCCAATTGTGGTTTTCCAGCCAAATATAAAGAAATAACACTATAACGCTTGAATTCCATCACGAATAATTTTTTTCTGCAAAATTCTCACCAAAATGCTTTTGTACGCTTGTAAACAATATAATGAGCTGTAACTGGAATAATTTTAACAGCTGTGGGAGTGGCTCAGAAATTACAGCAGTCTGAAGTTGGTTGTAGTTTTTTCATCTCACCCTGTATGTTTATATTTCAGCAATATGCTGATTGCAAATACTTTACCCTGGCCGAATATAAATTTGTACAAAACATTGTATTTATTAACAACAAATGTTTAATAATTTGTCTAAAACTTTTAAACCAAACATAGGTCGCTTGTGTGTATATACAATAAATTTAGTTGTGCTATCATGTATTCATTAGGAAAGCTTGCTTTTTTACTAATTCCTTAAATGTCCCACTATCTCGTGTAATAAGTTCGTCATAGGTGCCTTGTTCGGCAACTTGTCCATTATCTAATACAGCTATTGTATTAGCATTACGTATGGTACTTAGTCGATGGGCTATTGTCAAACAAGTTCTTCCCTTCGCCAATTCCTCCAAAGCATTTTGAACTAATTCTTCCGAGACGGAGTCCAACGCACTTGTTGCTTCATCTAATATTAAAATGGTAGGATTCTAAAACAAAAATGTATATATTTTTAAGCATGTAGTTATTACTTATACTGTTCACATATACAACTCACTTTGATTAATGCTCTTGCGATTGCGACCCTTTGTTTCTGTCCCCCACTCAACATCATGCCTCTCTGGCCCACTAAAGTATCCAGACCATTGGGTAATTGTTCCGCGAATTCGTCAACATGAGCTTTTCGTACAATATCTTCGAAGTCAGATTCTTTTATTGTATCTCCTGGATTGAGTCCATATAGTATATTTTCGCGTATTGTCCCAGAGAAGAGGACAGGTTCCTTGAAGAACAAATTTTTGTTATTTTTAATAAATTTCAAATACACGTACTTACCTGACTTACAGCTCCAATGTGTTTTCTTAACCATACCGGACTTACATCTCTTAAATCGAGATTATCTAATAAAATGCGACCCTTTAATGGATCGTACAATCTTAGTAACAATGATGCTATTGTACTTTTTCCTGAACCGCTACGTCCAACAAGAGCAGTTGTTTGCCCATGTCTTAAAACTAAACTAAAATCATTTAAAACTACGGAATCCGGTCTGGCGGGAAAATTGAAATTAACACCTTCGAAAATAACTTCTCCACGCGGCTTTATCTCTGGTATCATACCAGCATTTGTTGGTATCAGACATTTGCGGTCTAAAATTTCCCATATTCTTTGTGCTGAACCCACTCCTTTGTTAAGCTCGGTGTAAAAATTGGAAAGTCCGTTTAGTGATATTGCCGAATATCCAGCGTATAAAATAAACGACGTCAGAGCACCAATAGATAGAGCGTCTTGAATTACCAAATTGCCACCATAATACAAAACTGATATTATAATGATGTTGCCTGACATGCCAGTCTAAAAAGTAAAGGAATTGAAAGAAAAGAATAAATAATTAAAATATGTTATTTCCCATAAAATAGGCTCTGTTCTCAATTTTTTGAATAAAAACATAATTACCGTTCCAAAAAACATTGCTCGAGCAAGAGTTTCTTTATAACCCAGTTGTAAAGCTTCTCCCAGCAAATTATCGTATGTTTTACACTCTTCATTTTCTCTTGAGAAGGTTTTTACAGTTTTCACATTTCCCAAACGTTCTTCTGCAGACTTGGAAATATCGGCCAACTTGTCTAAAAGACTACGTGTTATTTTGCGGACATAACGGCCATAGACAATAGCTATCCCTGCAACGCATGGCACCACACATGTACTGATGAGGGCCAACTGAGGTGATGTGTATATCTGAAAACGATTGTAAAATTGCATATCCATGTCATTTTATAATCTAGGATTACATACCATCATTCCTGTACCTGCTAACACCATGACCGTCGATCGTAAACCATCTGATAAGTTTTGGCTCAGTGAATTTCCGACTAAATAAGTATCTGTTGCCAAACGATTTACTAGTTCGCCAGTGCCTTTTTGATCAAACCAACCGACTTCTTGATTTAACATCCGTCTATATAGTTTTGATCGTAGGTCGCGAACAATCCGCAAAGCTAGAGGTAACAACTGAAGAAATGCATTTGCGTCAAACAATTTAAAGAATGAATTAAACTTACATGCACTATTGAAAAAGTAAATGCGACCAAAATTTGCCAAACCTCCAATTAAAAAAACGCCGCATAGTATCAAAGAAAAATGTTTTAATCGGTCCAGTGCTTGGCCAGCTTTTTCGCTATCTTTGTCAAATATGATATCCAGAATTTTCCCAAGAACAAACGGAACACTCATTGTTATGGAGGAGGAAATAACCAAACAGCCAATGGCAGCTACAATAGTACACGTAAGTAGCCAATTAAGAAAAAAAAAACGACTGTGAACTGTCCTTACCAGCCAATACCAGTTTTTCAGACTTAGCCAAGCCCATTAGTCTTGCAACATCGCTTTTCTTAATTTTGACCTTTGGCGCTTTACCCTTTCCGGCAGCTTCAACATTTTTCAGCCGCCGTGATATCCATGAATTAGCTTGACGATTCCTGGATTGCAACAACTGTCCTTGAGACTTTGGCATACCATTCTGCAACAATCGGTGAGATAAATTCTGTCGACCGGTAGTAAAGTTTCTAAAAGTCCAAAAGACGTTGGGTGATGGTGATTTCGTAAGACGTGCACATTTCAGACACTGTAACAACATTGTTAGTTGGAGTGATTTATGTGAACCGGCAGCTATGATGTTTTCATTAATATGTTCATTTATTATCAAGGGGTTTGTAAAATTTTTTACTTAAAAAATATGTTTTTTTTATTATATTCTTAAACTTAAGTATAGTATAGTATATTTTATTTGAGTCTTCTTCTTTTCAGTACAATGATAACATACAAAGCGAATGGTTATCATAATACTTAGAACTATATTCGTCTTGTTCTAACTATAGTGATTGAAGCATTTGCTACATGCGAACGATAACAAAGAGTAAAAAGATAAAAACAATGGTTGTGAGAGAGAGGCTTGCTCATTGCCTCAGCTGTGACGAACAGAGCGATTGTGTCTGCAAACTAATAAATATAAAAGTTGTGTTCCAGTACTTTTTTAGTAGTAAAACTAGCAGAAGAGAGAACAGTTCGAAATGTCATTCTCAATTAGGTGTGCTCAAAAAATAAGGGAACGGAAAATTAGCAGAAATGCGATAAAATGTCAAAATTCAAAATTCCAAGAGTAAACAGTCCAAATCGGACTGGTGAAACCTTACTGAAACGGACGCCAAAATTTAAAAAAAAAATAGTATTGAAGACGATATGTTGAAATTAATAATCTATAATAATAATTAATAATCTGATTCATCATTCAGCCAGTCCTTTTCACTACTGGAATCATCCAAAAGTGTTCCATATTTTCCCTTTTTTTTGCACTACAAATATTAGTTTTTCCTTTAGTTTTTAAGTAGATCATTTCTTTATTTTTGTTATGACGCGGGAACATTGAAATGTATCAATACATTTTTCAACCTTGTTAGCCCTGCCAATTAAATGTCAAATTCACAATTTGCACATTTCTGCTCGGCCAAATTCATGTAGCTAAAACAAGCAGAAATGTGCACCACTCAGCGCCATTTTTTTCTCGAGAGAGCTGCAAGTTTTGCTAGTTTTTGTAGTACGGGAACGCGTTGTAGCAGAATTAGTACTAATTAGTACTAATTTGTAGGTTCTGGAACACAACTAAAATCAAAACAAAACTTAAAAAACTAAATAACAAATAGATCTGTTTTAGACAGCGACTAACAGATTTGTATGTGTAAATATCACAGATTTGTTTTAAATAACATGAATTGTTATAAAATCGAATGCCCAGGTAGAGCTCACAATAATTGGTGAGTAAATTGTTGTAACTAAGTTTTTTTTTTATACCCTCCACCAAAAAAGGTATGGAGGGTATATTAACTTTGTCATTCCGTTTGTAACTCATCGAAATAATCATTTTAGACCCAACAAAGTATATATATTCTTGATCAGCGTAAAATTCTAAGACGATTTAGCCCTGTCCGTCCGTCTGTCCGTCTGTTGTAATCACGCTACAGTCTAAACGAATTAAGATAGGAAGCTAAAATTTTGCACAGATCTCTCTTTTGTATGCAGGCAGGTCAAGTTCGAAGATGGGCTATATCGGTCCACGATATCGTATAGCCCCCATATAACGGTACCCCCCGATATTCGGTATTTTGATGATTTTACCCACATTTTTCAACGGAATTGTCTGAAAATCCACACAAGGAGTTCCTTGTGGGTAATTTATACCTCGGCAGAGAATTATCTATATAGGTCCACGATATCGTATAGCCCCCATGTAACGGTATCCCCCGATATTCGGTATTTTGATGATTTTACCCACATTTTCAACGGAATTGTCTGAAAATCCACACAAGGAGTTCCTTGTGGGTACTTTATACCTCGGCAGAGAATTATCTATATAGGTTCACAATATCGTATAGCCCCCATATAACGGTACCCCCCGATATTCGGTATTTTGATGATTTTAGCCACATTTTTCAAGGAATTGTCTGAAAATCCACACAAGGAGTTCCTTGTGGGTACTTTATACCTCGGCAGAGAATTGTCCATATAGGTCCACGATATCGTATAGGCCCCATGTAACGGTACCCCCCTGATATTCGGTATTTTGATGATTTTACCCACATTTTTCAACGGAATTGTCTGAAAATCCACACAAGGAGTTCCTTGTGGGTACTTTATACCTCGGCAGAGAATTATTTATATAGGTCCACAATATCGTATAGCCCCCATATAACGGTACCCCCCGATATTCGGTATTTTGAAGATTTTACCCACATTTTTGAACGGAATTTTCTGAAAATCCACACAAGGAGTTCCTTGTGGGTACTTTATACCTCAGCAGAGAATTATCTATATAGGTCCACAATATCGTATAGCCCCCATATAACGGTACCCCCCGATATTCGGTATTTTGATGATTTTACCCACATTTTTCAACGGAATTGTCTGAAAATCCACACAAGGAGTTCCTTGTGGGTACTTTATACCTCAGCAGAGAATTATCTATATAGGTCCACAATATCGTATAGCCCCCATATAACGGTACCCCCCGATATTCGGTATTTTGATGATTTTACCCACATTTTTCAACGGAATTGTCTGAAAATCCACACAAGGAGTTCCTTGTGGGTACTTTATACCTCAGCAGAGAATTATCTATATAGGTCCACAATATCGTATAGCCCCCATATAACGGTACCCCCCGATATTCGGTATTTTGATGATTTTACCCACATTTTTCAACGGAATTGTCTGAAAATCCACACAAGGAGTTCCTTGTGGGCATTTTACCTCCTCAAAATGAAGTGTCTATGTAGGTCCACGATATCGTATATCCCCCATATAACTGTAACCTCCGATATTCGGTATTTTGATGATGTTAGCCACGCTTTTCGATGGAATTGTCTTAAAATCAACACAAGTAGTTCCTTGTGAGTACTTCACCCCCTGAGAGAGAATTGTCTACACAGGTCCACGATATCGTATATCCCCCATATAACGGTACCTCCCGATATTCGGTATTTTATGATTTGACCCACATTTTTCATCGGAATTGTCTGAAAATCCACACAAGGAGTGCCTTGTGGGTACTTTATACCTCGGCAGAGAATTATCTATATAGATCCACGATATTGTATAGCCCTCATATAACGGTACCCCCCGATATTCGGTATTTTGATGTTTTTAGCCATATGTTTCAACGGAATGGTCACAAGGGGTTCTTTGTACACAAGGGGTTCTTTGTGAGCACTTTACCCACCGACAGAGAATTCTCTATATAGGTTAACGATAACGTATAGCTCTCATATAACGGTACCCCGCGATATTCGGTATTTTGATGATTTTAGCCACATTTTCCAATCGTATTGTCTGAAAATCCACACACGAAGTTCCTTGTGAGTACTTTACACGCAGACATAGATTTGTCTTTATAGGTCCACAATATCGTATATCCCCCCATATATCGGCACCTTCCTATATTGGATATTTTAAGGATTTTAAAAGAATTTTTATTGGATTTTAATTTTTTTGAAAATTTTCTAATTCGTTCCAAATGGTGGAGGGTATTCAAAGTTCCGCCCGGCCGAACTTACTGCTTTTTTACTTGTTTAAATTAATTCTTATCCTCTGTGACAACCCTGTATATTTTTTCGTAGAACTGTGGCAGTGTGTATACAGCGGAATCTTCATCGGGTTCATTTATAATTCCTATTGGAGACAAATATGGTGATTCCGACCAGTTCGTGTATTTTTCCAGTTCGTGGATTTCATTTAGGAGGAAGTTCTCATGCGTGGCCAGTTTTTCAACAAATCTCTTCTGTTGGTTTTGTGCATACTTACAGAGAGGAACAATACTTGATGTATTGTAAATGTAAGTATTTGAGTATCTTTTTTGTTGACTTGAGTAAGATTTGTTGATACATTTTCTTAATATTGTCCGCTCAAGGATTTCCAGTTCTTTGGCTACTATTGGTGAAATGGTAAACCAGACCGGGAACCCATACAATAAAATAGGCCTTATCGCTACTTTATAGAGAAGTAGTTTTGTGTTCTGGGGTAAGTATTTGTTGTTTAAAATGTGTGAGAACTTTCCTAATATTCCTTTTGCCTTTTTATGATAGATCGTGCGTGCTGGTTGAATTTGAAAAGGTTGGTGAAATGAACCCCCAGATATTTTATTGACGTTTTCAATGGAATTTCAATGTCTTCCAATGTCAACCGTAACAGCTTACTTTCTGGGACTACATATTTTGCACATTTTCCAGAGGCGTTTCGGAAGCAAATTGCGGCTGATTTTGAAGCGTTGATTTGCATACCCCACGTTTTGTAGTAGCTGTTGATAATATTTAAATGGGCTTTTACGCTATTCAGAGCGGTTGTCGGTGAAGCGTAGTGCGAGTAAATCAAGCAATCGTCCGCGTAAAGAATCGATTGCGAATTTTGGCCAATGTGGGGAAAATCGTACAGAAAAAAGTTAAACATATGTGGCGCCAACACACTTCCTTGAGGTACACCACTCCTTACTAAACCTATTGAGGAAGATATACCATTGATGTGCACCATGAATTTGCGGCAATTGAAGAAACTAAGCATCATTTTTATGAGGTATAGATCTATGCCAATTTCAATGAGCTTATATAGAATTCCAACATGACATACGGAGTCGAAAGCTTTTTGAATATCCAAAGATACAGCAACGGTGCACTTTTGATTTCTTAAATTTGATGTTATGTCGTTGTGGAACTTGAGGAGTGAGTATAGTGTTGAATGGGCAGGTTTGAATCCAAACTGATAGTTCGGGATTGGATTAATAATTAATTGATTTTCAATTTTTTCTTTCAGGACCGATTCAAGTATTTTTCCAACGTTTGAAAGAAGTGAAATTGGCCTGAAGTCGTCCACCGTGGTGCTATTTGTTTTCTTTTTGATTGGAATAATTTTCGCCAGTTTCCATTGTAAAGGGAAATAGCCGTTGTTTTTGCAGTGATTAAATACGCACGTAAAAAAATTTATAATAGAATCAGGAAATTTCTTGATTAAAAAATTTGAAATGCCATCCGGACCACTTGATTTCTTTGTATTTATATTCATAATAATGTTCCTTATCGTTTCAGAAGAGGTGAAGTGGAATCTATCTGGATTGTTCATAGCACAAAATCTATCGTCAAAAGAATAAATGTGCGTTGTGGTGATAATCAAACAGGAATCAACTCGAGAAGTGAGATCGTCGACTGGATTTAAAGGTAACTTTTCTTCAAATAAAGTAGAATTATAAGATTCAAACTTGTTTGCTATTTCAAGGCTGTTTGTAATAAAGTCATTTCCATGTTGCAGTTTTTGACAATATGCTGATTTGTTTTTTCCTGTTATTTGGGAAATTTGCTTGAATGCAGATGGACTGGGTTTAATATTTTTTAACTTTTCATTGAATTTCCTGGCAGACTCTATATTAACTAATTCTTTAATAATAGTTTTTAAAAGTTGGACTTGTTTAGAGAGTATAGAATACTCAAGACTGATTCTGTTTCCCGTCCTATGAAAAATTTTCTTTAATTCTTTCTGCCATTGATGCTTTACTTTAAGGAACTTCTTTATTTTATTTGGTCCGTCAAAGGAATTGCATAATTGAAGAAGCTTATTCAAGTCAGAGTCAAGCAAGTTCACAGGATAGCTACATTGTACATACAGTGACCCCAACAAGTACCTTTTTGAGCAGTTATTCACAATGGTTTCAATTTCTATTAAAGTTGAATTTATACCAACATTAATTGGGTTTATACGCTTAAAAACAATATTGTTTTTCACTATGACTGCAACTCCCAGAGAAGAATTGTCGTATAAAAATTTGTATCCATAAATCTTTACATATCTTTGTCTTTGGAGATGACATTCCTGTATGAAGGCAACATCAATATTTTCACTATGTAGAATATTTTGTAGTTCAATTCTTCGACTAGTAGCAACTAGTGAACGTACGTTGAATGTTAAACATTTAAAGATTTTATGGACCATAACTGGTTTTTACTTTAGCTAGAAGCTGTAAAAACTCCTTTTTGGCTTCGTTCTTTGGCATATTCTTGAACTCATTTAAAAAATTTTGAATTTCCTGTTCCAGGGTATGTTCTTCAGGTTGTAGGAAGAAATTGGCCAGTTTCAAGAATACTTGAATTAACGGCGGTTTTTGAAAGCTTTCCGTGCGATCTGTTGGCATTTTACTGAGTAAACTAGAAAAGGTTTTTACAGGTGAAATTGTCGACATATTAAAAATTTGTTTAACATTTCTTTGTGCGATGTTTTTATTTTCGGTGGCTTTTGCTATTTTCTGTTTTCTGACGATGACATATTGTTTATAAATTGGACATCCTTTCCAATTCGCTGGGTGACCATGTTTTTTACAATTAATGCAGAAAGGATCTGTTGCGTCAGAGATGGTACGTTGGCACTCACCAGGGAGGTGTTTTTGGTCGCATTTAACGCAGTTGTATGGACTGTTGCAGTTCCGAGCTATATGGCCTAAACCTTGACATCTGCGGCACTGAATTTCACTATCCTTCTTTCTTGGTTTTTCCCATGTTATAGCTTGGTTCTGGAGCGTTCTAATATGCGATATTTCTGTAGTATGGAAAAAGTGTTACCATGAAAAGTCCAGTATCGACGTTATTTTTAATTGACAATGGCGTTGTGAATTTGGTGACTCTGGCAACAGTATCTGGAACCAGTATGTCTAGTTCCCTTTTTATTTCTTCTGTGTCATATAGTGAGTACAGATTTAGGTGTAAATGAGTATGATCGTATATTTTTTTCCTTTAATATTGTCATCATGGATGAGTGGGCCTTGAGATCTGAAAAATATAATTTACTTTTAGATCTATTGACATTCTTGATCTTGAAAGGTGATTCTGGCAAACTTGTTTTTAGCTTTTCAACCAGAGCTTTGATATTGACATCAAAAATAATAATTGGAGGGCACCACGAAATTTTGGTTTTATGAGCACCATCACAGTCACTCGAATTTTTGGTGTTTTCTACAGGAGCAGACACTCCGATGTCCACATCGGCCAGAGCACCAAGAATTCCATATTTGTTTTGATCTTGTGGATTATGGTTCGTTAATCGTTCATTAAGATCAGTTATGTCGATGTTGATCGGTGATATGGCGCTTTCGATCCTTTGTTTTTTGCGCTCTTTTTGTATATTTATTTTGGCTGGGTTTTGACGCTTATTTGTTGTTGTGAATAATCTGAAATTCGAACTCGACTATGGACTTGGGTGAAAACCGAGTATTCGACTATTCATAGTCGATTTCAAATTCCTGTTGAACTAATGTGTCCTGGAGCTGGATTCTTGTTCTATGAAAATATGAAATGAAAAATATTTCCTTTATAACATTTCTCATTTGAGATTTTTTTCTTTATAAAAGTTTTCATTTCACATTTTCATAGAACAAGAATTGAGGCCCTGTTCAACTTATAGTCTGTTCCAGAACTGCAAGAATGTAAAAGTTTTTGCTATGATAACCACTTTTGCCTTTATGCAAAACTAGGAGATTTTGCAGGTTCTGGAACAGGCCCTTAATGTGAGATAGCAAATGCGCGCTTTGAAAACCAAAATAAAAGTCGTCCCCAACGAAACGAATATAAAGGCCAAAAAGCAAAATCCCCGAGGGATCTCTGTTGTTTACGAATAAGACATGAGGAAAACTGAACACATTCACTAAAAGAGCGCGGAACTAGCTACAAATTAAATTTGAACCATTGATGAACAAAAAAGGGAAAGATGAAAATGATTTAAGGTGGTTTACACACCATTGAACAAAACGGTGCAGGCACTTGGATTGGGCGGGAAAATGCATGGTACAATTAAATCAAGGTAACTTCATTTCAAATTATAATGCCCAATTCTGCATTTTTCTGTAACTTATCCTGTCGAATTTCACTGCATAGAAAATAGGTTCCCATCTCTGATTTGAGTATTTACAATGGATTTATAAATATACATTTTGACAATGAGATGATGTCAAACGAATAATTTTGCAACATATGATTGCATGACGTTACCTTCTTTAATTTACCATGAGAAAATTCTTTGCAAGGAAGTGCAGCGAAATCCTTTCAGATGTTTAACTATCAACATTAAAGTGTATGTATGTATATTATAAGGTAGTGCACACGTTCTCTGTTCCAGAACCTGCAGTGGAATGCTTTAACCTTTAACTTCTTTTAACCTTTACATGGCCCAATTATAAGGTCTACCAGTTTGGAATTCCAAAAAGTACAACTCTGCGATCTATATTTAGTATCAAAATTTGTTATTAGAGCAAAAAAGAAAACATTTAAAACATTTATTTTATAAATATATTAAATGTTGTGCAAATGGAATGAAATAATCTCGTGGATATTTATATATGTATTGTCTGTTAATTTCTCGGGAGTTTTTGTTTGCCATAGTAAGGGGTTAGGGAAATGGGTGAGAGAGATATAAGAGATTTTGCAATCGAATATTTGGACATCTATGGCGGATATTGAGGCCATGTTAATTTATAGACTTATCGGCTATCATGGTAGAAGACTATAGGTAGACGCATCGACACAGCTGTTGGGACAATGAACTGCCAAACCAATTTTGGAATTGAAAATGTTGAATGAAAAATTATTTAAATATGTAAAAATTTTTGAAAACACGAATTGTCTTTAATAACCTCCGAATGCATCCATGCATTGCATCCATGGTAGAATTAAGAAGGTGAAGTCGTGCAACCATTGGTCTGTTCCCGAACTGCACGAATGTAAAAGTTGTCACTACGATAACCGATTTTGCCATTGTGATGTCGAAAAATAGCAAAACTAGAACAGAGCACATATGTTGACAATTTTTTTTTAATAATTTTCCATTTGACAAAGCTATATATAAATTTAAAACAACGTAAACTTCGAACTTGAAAGTATGAGAGGATATGCATAGTTCTTGATTCTACGATGATTGCAGTTACGTGAGATACATATTTTGAAAATTGTGACCATTTCAAAATCTTGGTCGCTTTTGTGGAGGATGTTCCAAGAATTCATAATATATTGGGATGCGTAAAATTTGAAGAGAATGCGATGCTTATTTCGTATTTTATGAGGGTTATACTTATTCAAATATATTACGCCTTCACACAAGATTTTATGTTGATGGAAGTATTAGGATGTGCGGAATTCGATGCTCATTGCGCGTTTTATGACTTTCATGATTTTTCAAAATTTTGCTCCGTTGTGGATAAGGTGTCAGTAAGAGTGGTCTGTTCTTCATACCAGGGGGTTACTATGTAACTCGATTCCAAAGTAAAATATTTCGGATGCGAATTTTTCCTACCAACTAACTCGAATTCGCAAATCCATTTCCTACTTTCGGATTGCCATATCCGAGTATAGTATAACCGTACTCTACTTTCGGATTTGAATCACTATGTACTTCGAATTTAGAAGTCAAAGTTGTTCGAAAGTTGACATTTTTACTCGTTTGATATTTAGCTAACGGATACGAATTAAAAACGGGAAAAACGTTGTTGAAATTCAATTCTACAAATAATAAAGTGGGTTGAACCGTTATATGTGGGCCATACCAAAACAAAAAATCCATATAGGTTTGTTATGTTTTGTAAGTGTTAAATACCACATGTGTAATAATTATGTGGAAAATGTGGCTTATATCATCGAAATGCCAAATATCGGTCGGTATTGTTACATAGAAACCGTGCACCAATATGGACAATGTTCGAATGCCGAATTTTAAATAAAAACCGATAGAAAATGTGGCATAAATCGTAAAAAATGAGGAATATAAGTCGGTACCTATACAGACATTGTTCTACTACAATATGTAGAACCCCTTGCAAACTCTTAGAACCCCTTGCAAACTCTTAATAACATATTTTGAACAATTCCGTTGAAAAGTATCATATATAGGGAGCAACCGTTATAAAAAATCTAAACAAAAACGTGGACCGTTACCGACACAATACAAATTATTGTGCCAAATTTCTGTACGTCAAATAATGTGGACTGTATCGTGATATCACCAAATAGGCAGATTTATTTGAATCGACTTACTATTTTATGAGTTATACGACAAAAACTAAGAGGTGTTACAAAAGAAATGAAAAATTGAATATATCCTGCTTCCATTATAGAGGATCAATACAAAGCAAAACCAATTTCAGACAATACTCAATTCTACGACGGCACATCCTCAGTTGGCTAATGACAGCAAATGAATCAATTTTTTTTGAGACGCGTGAAACTTAGTTCTTTGAGTTGAGTTTTGTTTGTTTTCTTTTTTATATCTTCGATATTTTATGAAGTAAATGCTGCCAATTCTGAATAATACACTCGAAAGTACTGCCAAAATAAATCCATTTTGTTGCAGTATTTTTTACTCGATCCGAAACTGTTACATAGTAAGAGTTTAAATTCGGATCGAATACAACTTTCGACTTGTTCGAACTTTCGAATCGAGTTACATAGTAACCCCCCATATCTAGTGTTGGTAGAACCCGATCTTTGTACCAATAAAATAATAGGATTTGCAAAGTTTGCACCACGGTAGAATTAAGAACGTAAAGTCATTTCAAATAATTATATCCATCTCTGCATTTTCTGTAATTTACATTATCAAATTTCACTACATAGAAAACATATTCACATTTCTGAATGGTGTATACACAATGGATTTTTAAATATAAATTTTGGCAATCAGATGTTGTCAAATTAATAATTTAAAAAAAAATTAAACATGTGATGATCATTAAAGACATTAACAAGTTTTGCCATGGAATCGAAAGGTTGAACTGTTCGTATCATCTTTTTCAAAGGAAATCCAGCCGTTATGAATTTTTATTGTACCATACTACGTCTTGTAAATTAACATACCATGCTTACTTACTGACCTTCAAAGAGATAATTATAAATCCGTGGTATAATAAAACAAGTAAGCAAAGGCTACAGTCGAGCGGGGCCGACCGTTGAATACCCTACAACACTATAATAAATGATACAGTTTATATAGGCGAGATACTCGAAAGAATTCCACAAGACATTGTGACAAATAATAAAAGAAAACCATCAGGTTTCGTTCTCTAATTTTCGAATAATAGCAACTTAAACTAATTTGCTCATTTCCAATTTATTGGTAAATAGCCTTCCTAGATCTGGAACCAATATTTTCCAAAGACCTATAATATCTTAGAAGTGGCAAAAGATTAACATTTATTATAGGTTTTTGACTGAAACGCATCTATATGAGATACAGACATTTGACTATATTCTTCAACGAAATCAGCGTTAACGAAATAGTCAGAAGTGCGTCTTTCCTGTATTTGTGAATTCTCCAAAAAATCACTGGAATGGACATTTTCGTACTTTGTCTACAAAAGTTGGCAAACTCCTTCACACATTGAATATTTTTGGATGGCCATCCAAAACTGGTTGGCTTTTGCAATGTCCGGTAACCCCCATTCAAATGTGCGTGAGGATCGGGCAATAATTACGACCTGCTGACAATTTTGCAGTTTTTTGGTCCATTTCAACCCCTAAATATATGGCGATCATCTCCAAAAAGAGTAGGCTTCTATTCTGACCCTCATCTTATCCCCATGCAAAATTTCGTAAGGATCGGGCCATTAATGAGATCTGTATATGATATCCTGATATCCTAACTACTTAGTTTTGTTAGCTGTAGAAATATTACCAAATGTTTCATTCAAAATGAAAATATGCCAAAAATATGACAAAATTGAAAAAAATATGAAAAATGTTACAAAATCAATATTTTAATCTTTAGAGAGATATTTTTATGCGATTTTTTAGACGTTTTTTCTTTCCTGCCAAGAGGCCATTCTGAATTAATGAGATCTGTCGAAATTAGTTCAGCCGTTCTCGACATATATGATATCTTTCAAGCATATCTTCTTTGATAGACATATATATCGCACATATTTTGCTATATATCCGATTTGTTGTATGTTAACATCAATGTAAAGATCAGAAGTAACCTTGTCATGGCTTTGTGATTTAGCCGGGATTTAAATATTCGCGGTTTAATGAAAAATTTTGAATTTTTTCAACAAAAAAGATATGGTCTATTTTACCCGCTAAATATTATCCGATGACCATCAAAATTGGTAGGCTTCTTCTCCGCGCTAAACTCTAGCTAATCGACATTCCGCGTCGATTGGTCTATAATTGCGACCTGTATAGCTACTGCAAAATCCGAAATTTTTTCAGTATTTGGTCCATTTCAACCCCTAAATATTATGCGATCATCTTCAAAAGAAATAGGGTTCTATTCTGGCCTTAACCCCACCTCCATTCTAAATTTCGTGAAGATCGGACCATAATTGCGACCTGTAGAGTGATTACAAATTAACATGGACAGACGGACAGACGGACGGACGGACATACATAGCTAGATCGACTCAGCTCGTCGAGCTAGGAAGATCCATATATACTTTCCTATATGGGAAATCAATATTTCGTGGTGTTACATAATTTTTGGCCCAATCAAACTTATAATACCCCCAACACATAGTGTTGTAGGGTATAAAAATGATTCCAGACCTACACAGCTTGTTGTACAATGAAATATCAAAACAATTTTGGAATCAAAAGGTTTGAAAGAAAATAAGAAAATTCGTTGAAAAACTCTGCAAGACATCGCATAAGAAAATAATGTAAAAACTATTTATTTTTGAAGAAATTTGTATCGATTCGAAATGGTTTCCGATAAATTCATAGTCCGCCATAATAATAAAACACATTTGTTTTTGTAATTGGTTATATGAGTTTTTAGAAATGTTTATTTCGTTTTTATTGTAATTTGTTAAATTAATATGTGTTGTTGTTGTTTGTTTTGTATCGAAGACGAAAGTAAGCTTAAAATTCTAAACGATTAAATAATTATTCGATTTAATATCGATGATTATTAATGATGGATGAAAATATTAATTCACAGAAATGAATTGATTGTGAGAATGGATTCAATATTCACAAATGTCGGCCAATAAATTAGTATTTTTCATTCTTACGATTTATTCAATTGTTATAGCTGTTAATATTTAAAATGTATTCAATACATATTAATAAACAAATTCTACATCATAAATACTAAAATGGGGAAAAATATACATACAAAGAAAACAAATAGAAAACACTTAAACAAAGACAATAACTAAAATAATACAGGTTGCAAAATTACATTACATTTGCGTTAATTGATGGTTTTGTTAAACGGTAATTTGGAATCGACATAGTTGTTTTGTTCCAGAACCTGAGATTTTTCATTTATGATATAGTACTAGCTAGTACTTATTTGCAGATTCTGGTACACACCGATTATTTTCAATTGTGATTGTCTTCTATGGTTCTTCACCAACAAATCCAAGTTTGAAAAGAGTTTCGTCTAACATTGAAATAGCGGATAAAGAAATTTGTCACTGTTATCACGGATGTCTCGGTTTAAAATTATATTTAACAACCTATTGGGACGTGAACGTTAAATAAAATGGAAACTAAAACAGATTTTTTCTGCACTACATGAAATGAAACCAAATTACCAGGCTATTATTAAATGATTGATTTGAAAAAATGTATATTTGTAAAGTTATATTTGAGAATAAATGTAATTATCTTATCTGTATTAATTTTGTGTTGTCGTGTGTGTGTTTTTTAATATTTTTCAAATATTAATGATATTATTTAAATTTCATAGTTTATTTCGGGATAGGGTTAAAAGTAAAATTATAATTAATAAGAAATATACAGAGGTTTTAAATTAAATCATGTTTTATTGGCATTTCAACGAAATGATTGAAATTGTCAAATTTCTTTCTTTTTACATTTTCAACGATTTTTCAAGTTGGTTGATTTTGTTTTCAGCACATTACAATATGTATTTAATATTAATAAAAAAAACTTATTTGCAATACTGTTTTAGTACATCTTAAAATTAGACTTATTAAGATCTAAAAGAAAAAGTTTGGGTATGCCATTTTGGCACATTTCTATGTACGACGAATTAAAGGGGTTTCATACGTTTGAGCAATTGTTCAAGATTTAAACATATTAAAATTCTATATAGGGGAATTATGTAAATAATTAAGTCATGTTTTAATGCTGCTCAATTAAAATTGATTTTGTGTTTAATTAAAATTTGGCTGAGCGCTTGTTGGCCATGCTATTTTGGCATCGATGCGTTTGTAGGCCAGCATGCAGTGTTTTCCCTTGGCTGCCAATCGAATATCTTGCGGGCATTCGGTATCGTTGAGCAGTGTTTCTTCGCCGTCTACCAACTTGAAGAGAGCATAATCTTGGGGGTTGGTAATGCGCGCCTTGTGTGCTATGATCCGGCATACTTCCCGGGTTGTGGTATGTGGCCTGACAGGTAGTGTACGTGTTTGTAACGATCCATTGCATTCATCGGGAATGATTACTCTTAGAACGGAAGAACAAGCCGGTAATGAAGAAGAACGCCACTGAAATTAAACAAAAGAAAATTTTTTTAATAACCATTCGATGCTGATATGGGCACCTTTTAAATACTTACATCTAAAGAACCAGTACCACTTTCATTCTCCGAGGCCATAAAACTCTTCAAGACATGTACTGCACTACATAATGCGGTCAAATAATAGCCTGGCTCCCCATTCAAGAGCGTGGGTTGTAAGAGACCCCACATAAACTCAGCTTCTATTTCGGCTCCAACAAACCCACATTTGGCCACAACATATACGAGAATAGGTAGAAAATCGTCAGCTCCCAATTGCTGTCCTCTGGGACAGCCTGTAGCATCGAATATCGTCGAAATAACACACAGGAATAATTCCAACTTCTCCAATGGCAGTTCCGCCTCCTGCAGGCGTAACAATAGATTCGATATAACTTGTAAGGAAGTTGGTGAGGGTGGAGTGACCGAGGATCGTATACCAAAGTCACTGGCAGCCCTGCCACAGGCATATTTTACATTCTGGGCCAGCAATTGTATGTCCTCAGATCTGGTATAATAGTCTACGAACATTCCATACAAATGTTCTCTAAGTGGCAGCACAACCAATTGATGCATCACAGTTTCCAGAATGGCATCCAAATTCAAGAACTCGTCAGATTTCAGGCGAGAGCGGGCCGCTTCAACCTCTTGATGGAATTTGCCTTCACCGTGTTTGACCAGGTAGTTTTTCATGCCGTTCATGAACTGGCGCATGTTACGCATGACCACCTGTGGTGCTGCCTCTCGTGATTCCTTGGTACAAGAAATAAAGTTTTCAATGTTGCGGGCGAACGTAGTGCCCTGATCGGAGGCCAGCAGTAGAGTATAGTCTCTAACAGTATCACCTGGACCACCATTGTATATGTTGATCTTATTGCGTGGGTGACCTGTAATGAGAAAAACAATAAAGAAAATTGGATTAGTTCGGATGTCCGGCAGTTTGCGTTAAATTTTCAATAGATTTTCCTTTCGGCTGACTAATCAATTTAACAGACTCCTCCTAATACCTAACGCAACACTTACATTTAATTTTATCCCACAACAATTCTAACATATGCTTCAACAATTCCATGCAACACCTTCGGTTGCAGGGCCTATTCTCTTCCGCCGAACGACCCTCCTTCAAATAACGTTTGTATAGCTTTTGATTTTCGCGGGCCGCCAAGCCAATACCTTTGATTTCTTCTATGTGACTCATGTTCAGAAGGATGTTTCCATTATCGTCGAGACGAAAAAACTGCTTAATGTCGTAATGATCACAGCTGTTTACGGGGTGGCATATATCGCTAGCTTTGCTAATGAGATCATTGATAGAGGAACGTGGCGTTCGGTCTTTGGCCGGACATTTGCCAATGGCACCCATTATGGAGCAGGCCAAAGCTTCAGTCTTTAGTTGGGAACGATCAATAGCACAGTCTTTGATAATACGATTAGAGCAGGTGGCCGGATATTCATCCTGGGAGCCACCACTGTCGGACGCTTTCAGGCGTCGTCGCTTCTTGTTCAGCAGGGGAGAGGAAGTAGCCGATGAGGACGAGGTCGTTGAACCGCCGCCCATTGGTGGCAGTAGACCAATTTCAATTTTGTCGGCAAAAATTAGTTCCGTCAAAGAACGTTTGTATGTGCGTTTTCTGGCCTTCGACGCAGTTGCAGAGCAGCTGTTATCGTACAATTCTGTTATGCTTTGAAAATTTGCCGCGGCCGCAGACGCTGACTGACCAACAGCTGCATTGTCGGCTGTCTGTTGTGTTATCATTTGCACAAACTCCTCTTCAAAGTCGGCCGAAAAGTAATTGCCCATGTTGGCCAATGGGTTTTCGATAATCTCCCATTCGGACATTATCTTGAGAAAGACCTCTTCTTCTTTGTAGTTGCGTACATGATCGGGATCTTGAAAGAACAGTTCGGGGTCAATAATTTCGAAATTGTGAAATGCCAGTACGCTTAAAGACTTTTGCATTTTGTTGCTGGTGGGGCATTCCTCGCTGGAGGCGGCAGTACTTGTTGGCAAACTGTTCGATTTTTTCAGCGGGTGTAGATCACTATTTTTAGCACGAAGGTGCTCATGATGATTATGAGGGCTCTCTGGGCTTGCAGGCGACAACTTTTTGAACCACTTCATGATTTATATGGTAACGGTTTTTACCGGATAGGACGAACTGACGAAAACGAAAGTTTCTCATGAGCACGCACGTGCCTCCGCCTACGATCAAAAACAAATAGACGAGCAAACGGGTCGTCGACCGTTAAAAGCGACACGAATGAAACGATCAATTTTTACCACTTTGCACTACTCCGAGCTCAACGATAACGAAAAAAATAAATAAAAACTGTGACACATTTGACGAGACTATTTCAATTTTTGTTTATGGACAAGCAGCTGGCGCGGCGATAATTCATTGAAATAGTTTCGTTGTTACACGCACGGGAGCTAAATTCGTTCTGCCTTAAATTACGAAGAGTTGAAATGTTTTTATAACATCAAAAACCCTCGATGCGTCTAGCATGCTTGTTCTCAGTGCCTCTCTCATGAATTGTTTCTCTCCTCCAATGATAAGGCGCGAGAACACACACCAACATGTCACAGGGTAAATTTATCTATGTTTCTATGTAGTCTAACGGTGTGTAAGGCTTGCTCTCCATTTCCGCTCTATGCTCAACATTGCTCTCTCTATCTATGCTCATGTAAATGTGTTAACATGGCATACGTCAATGTTTATCTTTTTATGGCTGATCAAATGTTAGTTAATGCCTGCCGACTATCCTCCTCTCATTAATCGGGGAGAATTATGTTTGAACCTTTACAGCACGGTTTAAAGAATGGGCGCGTGCACTCCCCCGGCCACTGATTTATTGTTACAATCTATCTATAAAGATATTCAAATTGTGTTGTGTTGACAGGTACACATTGGGATTTACACAAATGCCGGGATAAAGTATTAAGAGCTTATCTAAGGTACAGTTGTGCAAAATTTTTATGAATTTATGGACATGTAAATCTAAGACAGTGGTTTTGCAGGTAGAACGAGAGGAGGTATAAGTAACTGGAGTTCTTAGTTACCTATTGCAAAATACAATAATGGCTTAATCCTTCAAATATTTCGCTCTCTATATGGCATGACTAAAATATTCTCTCTGAAATGAGACTAGACTACGATCTACTACAAGAGAACAAGAAATTTCGCTAAGAAGAAATCACCTCTGGTTTGCAGATATTTCTTCTCTTTAAGTACAGTAATGTTTGAAACAAAATCTAACAAACTTAATTCCAGGTCGATAGACGTTTAACGGCACCTTGGAAGTGCAACGTGTGTATGGTGAGGAGGTTCTGAGAAGCCCTGTAGTTGGCATGTACAAATATTTGAGAAAGCGTTTACATCTATTGATGGACATCTGCTTAGTTAATATTTATGAATGATTGCATCATCATCCTCATCGTCGGATTGTGTTGGTATTGGTGTGCGTGTGTGTCCACTTCTATTCCAAATACAAAAAGTAAAGTTCATCTAAACGAGGTTGAATGAATGAGACAAGGATGTATTTTTCCCATCGACATGAGTGATATGTATTTAAAATACTGCGCATTTACAGTTTTATTTTTGTTCTAGACAAGGAGACACAATCATAGGAACCGGAAATAGGCGAACATAAGTTTTGTGCGTTGTAAGAACGCATCACTTCATGATTATCACACTGCATACAAGTCCGTGGAATAGGATTTTACGTTTTCATCTGTGACAGCGCCTCTGTTTAGGAGCACCAGTGACGAATGAATCATAACGTTTTCGCCAAGTCAAAGCTTTTGTTAATTATTTTTCTTTCTATGTTTTAATTGTGAGATAACAGTTAAACTGATAGCTAATATCAATTCAATTTGTGCAGTTGGGGGTTTCAAATTTAAAACAAATTGACATTGATTTTTTATAAATATTGTTAGTAATACACACATTTTCAGACCTCTGTCTATAAAGAGAATAGGGTCGCTGTTCATAGATGAGTTACAAATAAAAAGAGTTGCTATTAACGATTTATCAAAGAAACTATCTTCTGTTTTTGGGGCATGGATCTATTGATAACCAAGGACGCGTTATTAAACATTTCTGAACTTATTATGCCAATATATCTTTGTAGATTTTGGTGTGAACCGTAAATAGAAATATAAACACACTGATATTTTGATATTAAATTTATTTTAGTATTAGATATATTTTATCTGACACGTGTACCTAACGTGTTCAACATGCATCAAAAATCTCAAATTTCATTTCAATGGACCAAATGAGTTTTAAATATATATTTGTCGAATTTATAAAAACGACGTTCCAGGAAATTCAAAGTGTATTTTTTTCATTTTTTACTAGAAAATTGTTTTTGCATCCGTAAATCTTGTACATTGGTAGGCTAAATTTGAAAAAAATGGCCCGAAGTGATATTCTCATTAAAAAGTGTTTACTTGACGGCCGTGTAAACTAGTACCATGATTACCAGCTTCTGATTCTATTAAATGTTTTGTACTTTACCTGGGCAGAAAGAATTGTACATTTCTCTCGTTTACTAGTTTTGCTATAAAAAGCACGAGATTACAAAAATGTCTAAAACTGAATAATTAATGATATTTAAAATTGTTGTATTCGAAAATTTACAGAACTTTGGGTGCAGTTGTTATAGATATTCAAAGTTTTCCTATCATTTTAAATGTCTCTCAATGTCTAGATTCTTAATAAAGACATTTATCTACCCAAATCTGAAGGCCTATATGTTTGTTATGCATGTAATTATGAACGGCGCCCAATGTTAAATGTTTCTTACACTGGCAAAGGATAATGGAAGGAGTTGTGTGTTTTTTTGATGTGTAAACAAATATCATATGCCACTGTTTACATTTTTTTGTTTAGACAAGACATGTTATTTTATTTATTTGTTTGTCCTTTGTCGTCGATAGTCGTTTTCAAGGAATTAGCTGGCAATCGGAAACATATGTTCCATGAAATATATGTTTGATTTTTGGTGTTTTCTTCTTTACTTAACAACTACCGCTGGTTAGGTTAGGTGTCCGCTCTTTAACGGTATTTTTTTTAAATTCCCATCTATGCCACACACAATGAGGAAGTAAACACACAAGATTATTGAACCTTACTCTTTTGCATATCTCGATTTTTATGTAAGAGTCAAAAGCATTGACCAAATTATGTATGCTCGAGTTATCTTATCAAAAACAATGTGGGATTTTCATATTTTTTTAAGTAATTCGGACAAATATGGTTGTTATTGTTCTGATAAGAAAACAAATATTTTGTAATTATTTTGGTTTCTCCAAAGAAAAAAGTGAACTTTACCGAGGCGACAGTGTTATTTTTAGTCGAGTTCAACGAATTATTAGGGCCCACAATCTCAGCAAGTTCGTATTTACATATCTGTAAAAATATATATAACTACTATTTATAATAAAATTATTGTGTTTAGTAGTTAAACACAGCGCCGCATGTTATTTTTGTCAACCATCTAAAGCTGAGAAGGTAAAGCGTTGACATAGAGACAGACAGATATTCAGACATACATTATCTATTTTCCCTTCTTACACAATAAATCTTCATAATTTTATTATTCAAATAAATATTTAAAGAAATAAAATGTGTAAACACTGTAAATGTAAAGTAATCGTTGCTTAATTAGCCCAGCAACCAGGTCACAATGGGAATACAACGTGATGTATAATCTGTTGATATTGAGGTGGTTTTTTTTATATCAACAGGAAAGATTGAATAGAATTATGTCAATTAGACATCTATTGCAATATGTCAAAAATCATAGAAATATAAAACTGAGGGGGCAAGCCTTTTAATTTTTTCCGAAAGTATCTAAAAGCAATAAATCTATCTTGCAAGAA